CTGTGGTTGTTGCAGTTGTTGCAGCACCTGTGGTTGTTGGAGTTGTCGTATCACCTGTGGTTGTTGCAGTTGTCATATCACCTGTGGTTGTTGGAGTTGTCGTATCACCTGTGGTTGTTGGAGTTGTCGTTGCACCTGTGGTTGTTGGAGTTGTCGTATCACCTGTGGTTGTTGCAGTTGTTACAGCACTTGTTGTTGTTGCAGTATTTGCAGGACCTGTAGTTGTTGGGGTTGGTGAATCAGCTGTGGTTGTAATAATTGTGGTTGTGTCCTGCCCATCCGCAGAGGCTGTTTTGTGATTAGATATTTTGATTGGTATGAGATTTAGAATTGAATGCAAAATACTGCAAGGGTAAAACAATAAGAGGGAAACAAGAGGAGAAAATCTCACCAACACACAGAAGGAGAACGACACAAATCTTTAAAAGCATGGTGAAGTTGGTTCTTTTGTCAGACATCTGAAACACAAGTAGGACAAGATAAATGTAAGATTACTTCTTAAACAGAAAGTAGATTCTACTCATTGGATAAGAAAAATTTAAACAAACTGTTCCTGCATTATGGTCATACTTCCATTATCAGAGAAGAATTCCTACAATTCTATTCTGCTCAATAGTAAGAAAAACATCCAGCTCACAATCTAACTGCTGGGTTTTTTTTGTGATGAAAATACTTACAGATGTTTGATGCTTCAACTTGCTCATTTTAGTTTTCTCTGCCAGATTTTAGTATCAAAATGTGAGTATGTCGCATTGTCACTGAAACAATCAGTTTTCTAAGTATTTAAATAATTTGCTTGCAAATTAAATGATACACCACTTTTTCTTAAATTTACTGTTTGAGAGAAATACAAATTTCAGAATAACACCCAAACATTTTTTGAAGACTTGGAAAGAAAGAAAAGAATCACAAACACAATCTCTTATAATTATATCAATTATAAGAGATTGTGTTAAGTCAGAAAGCAGCAATGTAAATTGTACTTACAATTGCTTCCTTGCTTGAATGTCGTCCTCAGTAGTAAGTGCAGGTGTGAGGGTTTGTGATTTCTGCTCCTCCTTTATAAACACTTCTAGATTATCCGAAATAATGAAGGTGGAGTAATAAGAGTTCATGTGACCGACTTTAGGATTAGTGCAGTTCGTTTTGGAGTAGGTTGAAATTGTCATGTTTGCTTCTAGTGAAACAGGACTGTAGTATAACTAGTAAGTTATTTGGTGAGAAAAAAAAACGGGATACAGTCATCCGGTTTGTGAATCAAAAGACAAAAGAACAGACAAAAGAAGTTCAGAAAAATTCAGAGACAATTTTGGAACTAAAACTGATGTTGGTAGTTATTCTTTCCAGAATCACTTCCATTGAGTTTATTTCATTGTTTTCATTTTAAAACTTACACCTATAATTTAATCTGTATTATTGTGATTATTATTAGGATGATGATGCAAATGATGATGACAATGATGATTATCATTATTTTACAAATTGGGAGAGAGGTGGGGGCTTGAAAAACTTTATTCAAAAGAATACATTTAAATCAACATAGTAAAGTCTTCGGCATTTCTGTTCTTTTAAAGTTACAGTTGAAAACAGGAGCAAACTGAAATTTTACTAGGACTGAAAAATTAGAGTAAGCATGGATGATCTAATATATGATATGAAAAAGATTGAAGCAGCCTTAAAAACATTATATACAGACAGTATGTACAGTTTTATTAACTTTATCATATAATTATGATTCACAATTAATGGAAACCCAAAACTCTAAAAGTGCATCTTTACTAAAGGTAAGATTGTCATGGCAAGATTTAATGTCTAAGAGTTTTTAAAAATGTTTTTAATGCTGGTGTTTCTGATTGTGCTGGTTTAGGTTGTACTTTTATGGATGGAAATGAATAGGTTTTCCTCACACGCCAGTATAAACTGAACAAAACGGGATATAGATTATTTGAATTTATTTGAATAAACAGTGCTGTGCTAGCTGGAAATCGAAAGTGCAGGTAAAGTTGAAATTCACCTTTAAACACGCTTTGTGCCTTGGTAACCTAGAGATCTGAACATGTGCGTAGTTTCTAAATAGTTTGTCACAAAAGCTTTTCTACTAACGAAGGGGATTTAGCAAAAAGGTCATGTCTTCTAAATCACGTTCTGTTCATTAAAGGAACGTTCATTCATGTGAGATGCAAAAGAAAAATAGACCAAAAACAATGTCAGAGACAATAAAAAGAGATAGTGAACCAGTAATGAATCAGAGTGTGTCATAGTACTGAAAAATAACCTTTGAAAGTTATCACTTCTCGTTTTTTTCCATTTATTCCATAGGGGACGATGAGAAAGAAAGCACATTTTGCTGGTTAAGGTCATCTTGATTCTAGTTTATAGATGCAAATGAAGAGTCCTCCTCACATGCTCATGTGAGCTAAACAAAACAGGATTACGTTTAGTTTGAATTGATTTGAATAATAAACACAGATGCAATACTAACTGGAACTCGATTGAACTCAAACATGTTGAATTCCCTAAATCCAATCATACAGTTAACCAAGACTTTTACCTCATATAATTAATCATCAATATGTTTTTTTTACTTGTGTAATGTCATTGTTTTTCAATAGTGGCTGGAACTTCCCCCTAAGTTGTATATAGGGGCGACGTGAGGTAAAGACTGAATGGGTTACCAATACCAACGTAAGAGGAGGTTGCTGTTATTGATGAAAAAAAACACACATTTGTTCTATTAAGAGGTCAGAAGAAGCTTTAGACTTGACATTTAGAAAGTATTTAAAGATTATATAAACTTTATTACATACCAGAATTTACAATGATTGGATATTAAAAAAACTCTAACATTGCAGTCAAAAAGCTTTTATGTAAGGTTTTAGTTCTCTCAGTGCAATTATTCATAGAAATAGCTCCTCATTAGTAGGACACTCAGTTGTGATCAATTATATAACCAGGCCATTATTACTTTAAACCCCAAGAGTAAGTTCATTCTATATCAGAAAGGAGCTCATTCACGCAAATTAAAATCTGCACACATATTCTCCTCTTTTAGTGATTTCAGTTAGTTAACGTAAACCTCAGAGTGAAGCTTCAGCAATAAGAATGAAGGAAATGTGTCATCACAGCTAAAGGGACT